TACTGACTCTGTCACACTCTTTGGATCTTTTTAATACCTACATTTCATGAGGAACAGCATTAAAAAGGAAGGTTAGTGAAACTTGCAATAAATTAAGAGTTTAAAACAGTATATAAAATTTTTCTTCAAATATTTACCTAAACTCTAACAAAAGAAATATTTGGTTTGCCCAAAACATTAGCTTCACAACTTTCAAGTCTTAAAGGAAGAATACTTTATAAGAATGAAGACTAGAGATTCATCTCTGTCTCCCACAGCCATGTAGCTGAGTATCTCTTACATTGTAAGTATACACTGAGCAGACCATATGAAAATGTCTCCTTATGAAATTCAGAGAATTATAAGGCTTCTTACTAAAAAATTAAATTAAATTTAAAAGGCTTCTTAAAAAACTAAATACAGTCAATATATCTTACGAGTTAGTATGGAAAAATACCCCTTTTCAAAAGAATTATGTATTTAAGGCAACCTTCACCAAAGACAGGGTACAGTTTATCTTTGTTAAAATATAAATATGTATTTTTTAATTACAGTATACTACAGTAAAATGGAGGTCTGACTTTTAAGTGTGTATTATAATAGCCCTATTCAAAGTTTTCACAGTATCCAATGTTCCAAGTTAGTAGGAGGCAAGATGACCTATTGCACCAAGGGGTGACTAAAGCTCTGGAAGCCGAGTTGCAAAAACATTTGGGCTTCTCTTAGAAAAATTAGTGATGTATTTTAAGATGAAAAAAGTAAAGGCACATGAAGTGTCAATGAAGCTCACCTAAGAATGAGTTGAGGGGAGAGGTACAAGGGGTAATGGCCCGGTGATAAAAAGGTAAGATACTATCCAGAGTGCCTTAACCCATAGCAAAGAAAGGTGACAGCCATAAAGCAGCCTTTGGTGTAACAGAGAGAGGGGAGTTAGATAATAAAAAATAAAAGAACTTCATCTTTAAAGACAGTAAAAAGTAACTGTCCCTCAAAGGACAAAGGGGCAGAAGTGACACCGAAGGCCTGAGTCCAGGGAATAAACTTGCAGGCTCACATGGATAAGGAGTGGAAACAGTGACCCCTTGACATGGTAAATGGATACATTCTGAGACCTTCCCAAATTCATGAGTCTCAAAAATAAAAGAGACCGGTGGGAGTTCTGTTAAGTTCACACACTAACCAAATGACTACAATCTGTACTCTAGCCTTCTGTTAATCCCTACATACAATATTTTTAATTCTTCTAAGTCCACAACTCTATGAAACTGATATTACTCCCATAACTAACTACTAAATGTCACAGACCTTCTGGATGTTTGAAAATAACTAAAACCCCAAATGGTAAATTCCCAAAGTCAAGGGCCTAGTGTGGGTGTGTCCAATCTTTCTGAGTACAAGGACCCTGCATGGCAATATACTACTTTCAATTTCCAATGACTAAGAAAACATATACATACATTCAGAGACGTTCCCTCATAAATCCAGTGACTCTCTCACCCCAGGTCCACACACAACTAGCAGAGAAGCAGCAATCCACTATACATACAGGCTTAAATAAGCACAGCATTGTTCAGGGGATTAGCGTCATTGAGATTTAAGTATTCACTCTATTATTACCAACACTGATTTCAAAGTATAAACAGTTCCTTCCTAAATATACTCCCTTGCACCAAAAACAAAAGCAAAAAACCCCTGCAATCTCAAGGCCTATTTTGTGAATAATACAAGGCATAAAAGTAAGTCCTCATCATTACATCTGTTTGATTGTTATCAGTCCTTACTAACATTCCCAATACTCACCCAGCATCACCACCAGGATCAAGGAAAAGTAAAGAGTGTGTTTAGGAATGCAGGGATGTGGCAAACAGTGCAGTGGTTGAAACCACAGGATCTGAAATCAGCATGCCTGGGTAAGAAACTCAGCTCCATCCTCCACCCATACTACCTATGTGCCTTTGGTCCAGTCCTTCAACCTCTTCACTGCCTCAGCATCCTCAGATGCAAAAGAAAGATTAAAAAGAAAAAAAATCACACTTTGCATATTTCCAAGAAGTAATATATATAAAGCAGTTAGGACAGTGTCTGGCACAGAGTAGGTATTATTTAAGTGCAAGCAACACAAAATCTACACATAAAAATTCAAGCTGGACTGGTAATTCTGAACAAAAAGATACACAGCATTATTATAAGCATCTCTGAAAGGCTTACCACAACAACTTCTCATATAGACAAAGGCTATTTCTTTGCAGACAGTATGAAGAGAAATCTAAAGTGAACCACTGCACTACTTACTTGCCTACCCAATGCTTCTTTTCCATTGCCCTTTTACACTTTTCCTCTTGGTTCATATTTTAGCTTATCAAAATCTACCATAGAGTGCTTAGACCTGAGGAAAACATCAGGATTTTATAACACAATATAGTTTCTTTTGGCAAACATCATCTTTCATCAGATGTCAAGACTTCCACCAAATATGTCTACCAATGAGAACTAAGTAAACATAATCACATAACACAGTAAGACGATGTAAAACACTTAGTATAGGGGCTAGCACCGCACAAATGTGAGTTGTTGTCATTAATGCTACTAACGATACTCCTAAAAACCATTATTCAATCTCTCAGCTTTAAGGTAACAGTAAATTTATATTTCGTTGCTACAGATTTTTGTTAGAATAAAATGGAATTTTACATGCAACAACCTAAAAGAATCTCAAAAAAAACATTGAGTGAAAGAAGCCAGACACAAAAGGCCATATACTATGTGATTCTATTTTTATGACTTCCATGAATAAATGGGAACAAATCAGAGAGTGGCTTCTGCAGAGGATGGGGGAAGGGAGGATTTATTGAAAAAAGGAACAATAAAAGTTTCTAGGGGAATAAAAATATTCTCTATCTTCTTTAAGTGGTGGTACACGGGTATATAAAATGAAAAAAGAATTCACTGAACTGAACACTGAAGACCTGCATGCCTTAATGGATATAAATCATACCTGAGTTTTTAAAATTTTTAAAAAGCAAATGCATCTATACATGTGCTTTGTAATTTAGAGTAGAAATGTTATACATAGGTGATTTCGGAGAGGGAAGATTAGAATAATTACCTAAGAAATAAGAGCTCAAAGACTTAGTGAGTTACGGTCCAGGGAGGACAAACATATATTGTTATTCTTTTTATTAGAACTACATCTAAGAATAGAGCCTCTTCCCTATGCATCCTATTTACATCCATCTCATCCATCTCCTATTCTCTCTCTTAGTTCTGATCATTGGCTGATTCTCCCACTCATTTCAGAGAGTTTGCCGTCTGTGCTTACACCACAATACTAATAGAGTTAACAAAAAGAAAGACTGAATACTCAATCAAAACAGCAATGTTTTTATTAAATAGACCAGCAGCTGTGTGAGCAGAGACTTGTAAATGCATCTGTTCTACAGGATTTCATGTTTAATTCAATCTGTTCAAATCAGAGTAGCAAGGCCCTAGAACTATGGACTAGACAAGGAAAGTTTTGCTAAACAGATCCTACATTGATATGGTGTTTGTTAGAAAAGAACTGTACCTATTCACTCATACACTCATTCAGTTAACAAGCACTTACTGAGCACCTATTCCATTCCAGCCATTGTGTACGATACTGGGAACACAAAGGTGAAGCACAGGCTGGTAGAGGTGACAGACATTTGAACAAATGGTTATAACACATTGGCAGGTTCACTATATACACAAGCCTGGGGGAGTACTATGAAAGCACAGGGGAAAGGAAGATTTCCTTTGAAGGCTGAAGCTTTTCTGGAGTAAATAGGCAGAAAGGGAGAATGAAAAGTGTACTCCCACCTAATCCCCACTCCATATATAAGGGAGCTTCAGCTGTATCAGTAATGTTTTATTTCTAAATCTGGATCAGGAATATACAGCTGTTCCTTATTTTCTTCTTTTAGTCCTTTTCTCTGTCAAATATTTCATAATAAAAAATTTTAATGCAGTCCACCAAGTAGTGCCTATAGACTTTGAAAACCTGTACGACCAGCATTGCCTTCTCCCACAACACGTAGCATAGGTTTGCCAGGGTTAGCTCATCAGAAATGAAGGTAACAGGGAAAAGGACAGACTTAGGGATTCTCTGGTGATGGTTGAATAAAAGGCCTAGACAGGTAAAAGGGGGTGGGCCCAACATATTGAATATACTGTAAAATTAAAAAGATACAAACAGATATGTAAAACACATTCCAACTTCATTTTATATACACACACACACACGATTATATACCTTTGTTACAGAAAAAAAGGTTTATCATGATCAGCTAACTCCATTCATTCCGGTCACAATTCTCTTAACCTATATTGAACACTTGCTCCATGCCACCTACATACAGAGAAGAGAAAGCTCCTGCTCCAAAGTGCCTGCCATCAAATGGGAGGAGTCAGGCAGGTGAGCTGACTTCTGGAGTACAAAAGAGAGACCCTACAATAAGAACTGGCAACAATGCACACAAGGTATGTGAGAGGGAGCCTGGGAAACACCGGCTTCACAGGTCACACCAATAAACCTTGGAAATTTTGCAAAATACATATGGGAAAGGAATAAAATACATTGTTTTCAAAAGATTTTTAATTAAAAATTCATTTTAATGTACTCTATAATTCCTGATATGAAAGGGTATGAAATTTTCAGTCACGATAAAACACTGATTATTCTCCTATTCTAAAACAAGCAATCGCATCATCTCACCAGCACCTCCTAATAGGAAAAAAAAAAAAAAAGACAAAATTCTGGACCTCATTTAAAAGTTCAAGGTGCCACTATCATGTTGAAATAATACTTCCTTAAGCCAAAATAACTGATAAGAATGTGCTAGGGCCTTTAAGTAAAGGCAGCCTTCTCATGACTGCCTCTCACGGTGATGTGTTTACATGTTTACTGTAACTCAATTACTTACTATTCTTCCGCAGCCAGGCCCAACTGCGACCTCCCAGCTTGCAACTACGGCACCGCTCCCCAGGAGGCCGGCGGCAGCATGCCCACCCCCAAGCGCTTCCCGACGCTGGTGCAGCTGGAGCAGCGGGAAGGGGCGCTGTTCCAGATGCTCAGTAACATCACCAAGCGGCCCTATTGGTTCCAGTCCGAGTACTTTAAGAGTCCGAAGGCAGTTCATCTTGAGGCTTGGCTGGTGGAAGCGATCTATGGCCCGGGCGGAGAGCACATCCCGCACGTCGAGTGTGTATCGCAGACCCTGCTTCGCATTAATCAGTGGGACCTTGAAGGTGAGGCTGAGATCTTGATATTTGGTCGGCCTTCTTACCAAAAGGACGTGTCCAAGATGATCATGAACTTGACTTACTATCACCGCCAACTCCAAGCGCAAAGCTCAGGAAAGAACGCTGCCCAGGACACCGAGACCCAGAACTCCCCGCTGCAGTCAGGGAGGCGGCGACCCAGCGGTCCCCCGGCGCGGCCCGGGAGGCGGCGACCCAAAGCTCCCCCGATGCCACCCTGGTCCCTGTTCCCAGGTTATGAAGTTATTTCGAGGCCTGGAGTGAGAGCCAGGCAAGGTTTAAGCAGAAACCCCTATCTGGAGGGTGGTGTGAGTTACTCTTGCTTTCACCTCCTCCCCTCCCCTCCCCCATGTTAAATGTTTGCAAACAAGAATTTAAAAAGGCCTAATAAAGAATCGAATTTCAAAAAAAAAAAAAATTAGATGATCAGTCTTCAAATCAATTTTTTTGAAATTTTCATTTTTCCAAACCTAAAAACATTAACTCAATATGAAATATACACATACATATATACATTTATACACATATGTGTACATACGTAGCTAAGTGAATTTAAGGTACTTTTGAGAACAATATTTTAATAGACTTTTCTCTCCCTCCTCCAATCCTACTGTAATCCAATATGCTATAAGAACTATGCTGCTGCTTACACACATCCTTCTTCTTGCACTTGAAAGTTTAAAAGTAAGGGGCAAGACAGATTTGTGATGTCTTAAGAGAGTGTTGCCATGGAAATTACTGGCTTGTTCCTTATGAAAAACCATGACCTCACTGCAAATGAAAAAGAGAAAGGATGATTTCTGACGATTCAACTCAGAGAAAAATCCAAAAACTTAACAGACAGTCTAGAAAGTAATGCAATGTGAACTACTATACTGAAATATGTTCAAAGAACTTTTAAAAGTTTGGCCTCCAAATTAGGAATCATATAATCAAAAAAGGAAAATAATATATTAATGTGAAGACAAACCATTCAGATTTGGGACCTCCAGTCAATACGGAGGACAGGTAGACACACTTTGCCTGCTCCACAACCATAGTAAGAATTACAACCAAATCTCAAAACTAACAACACCCGGAACAGTCAGAAAATCGAGCTATATGGAAGTCTGACAACCAAAGATTTAAAGAAGATACATTCATCCAGACGGTAGGAGATGCGGAGTCACAGAGACAGGTGGAGAGGCAATGTGGCACAGAAAGGCAGCAGCAGCAGAGGGAGAAAAGACAGTAGGGATACCCTGAAAGCAAGCGATCCCAGCCCCAGGCCACACAGCCCACAGTTTCAGCACCAGGAAGACGGAGTCCTGTTTCCTCTGGCCATAAAAACCAGTGGGGGTGGGGCGCGGGAAGAAACTGCCAGGTTTTCACCACTTAAAGGCCAAGCACAGTTTTAGAACGTACTCAAACTCACCCACTCCAAGGTTCACCACCAGAGCAGCAGCTGGGAGGGCACCAATCACACGCGGGAAGGGGGTGTAGTGACTGGAAACAGGGCAAGGGCCAGGCAAACCGCCAGAAGCCAAGTGATGGCACTGTGCCCTCTCAGAACCCTCCCCACACTACCACAAAGCAGTGGAGCAATTACCTAGGGCTCTACCCCACACAGTTTACAGGCGTCTTTTCTACATTAGGCCATGCTACTAAGACAGGGAGTCAAAGCAGCTCTACCTAATACATAGAAACAAACACAGGGAGGCTGCCAAATTGAGGAGACAGAGAACTGTGGCCCAAATGAAAGAACGGAACAAAACCCCAGAAAAGGAACTAGGCAAAATGGAGATAGCCAACTCATCAGATGCAGAGTTCAAAACACAGGTTACCAGGATGCTCAGAGAACTCCTTGAGTACAGCAAATAAATAAATAAAGGAAAGAAGAAATAAAGGAAGAAATGAAGGTTACACAAAGTGAAATAAAGACTAATCCACAGGAAACAAATGGAGAAGGGAAGGAAGCTGGGATTCAAACCAACAATTTGGAACATAAGGAAGAGATAAACATTGAACCTGAACAAAAAGAAGAAATGAGACTTTAAAAAAAACAAGGGTAGACTTAGGAACCTCTGGGATAGCTCCAAACATGCCAACATCCGAATTGTAAGTATGCCAGAAGGAGAAGAGGAAGAGCAAGAAACTAAAAATTTGAAAAAATAATGAAAACTTCCCAAATTTGGCAAAGGAAATAGATATATACAAGTCCAGTATTCAAAGTGATGAAAGGCAAGGACTTACAATCTAAATTACTCTATTCAGCAATTCTATCATTTAGAATTGAAGGGCAGATAAAGTACTTCCCAGACAAGGTAAAGCTAAAGGAGTTCATCACCACCAAGCCATTATTACAAGAAATGTTGAAGATACTTATTTAAAAAAAAAAAAAATCAAACATAAACATTAAAAAGGCAACAAATTCAGAACCATCAACAACTGAATCTTAAAGAAAATGAGCAAACCACCAGAATAGGAACAGAAGCATAGATATGGAGATCATTTGAAGGGTGACCAGCTGGGAGGGGAAAGGGGGAAATGGTGCAGGGCTTAAGAAATGTAATTCATAGGAACAAATAGAGGGAAATTAAGACTAGCATGGGAAATGGAGAAGCCAAAGAACTTACATGCCATGACCCACGGACATGAACTGAGGAAGGGGTGGTGGTACTGCTGGAGGAAATTGGGGTACTAGGCAGAGGGGTGAAAAATTGGGACAACTGTAACAGCATAATCAATAAAATATAATAAAAAAAGAAACCATTCAAATAACAGGGACCTGTGGTTTCTAAAAAAATATATTATAGCCTCAATCCTGATAAGACTCTTGAGCAAAATCCTATGACTGTGAGGTACATCATAAAATTAAATCCACATCCTCCATTTCCCTTCCTAAAAGCAGCCTGCTTTTTCCTCCTTTCTCTCTTTTTCTTTTTTTTTTTTTTTTGTGCCCCCTGTTTATACAGCTTTTCCCTTATCACACTGACAAGACTGGGAACCACAGCAGATGGTCCCCCCAGACATAATTCTAACAGGTTTTTTTGTGCAAACAAAAGATAAAGAAGGCTACAGCAATGATTTACTGATATCTAAAGTAGAAAACTGAAAAACACAAACTGCTTTTTTCTTACTGTTTGAACTGTTTATCCCTTCAACTACTAAAATAGATATGGCCAAAGTTAAACATAATTTCAAAACTACAAATCCAAATACCCAGTTTTAACCACCACTAAGTTTTGTTTCTGAGTTACCAAAATACCCTAAATCACATTTTTAAAGAACACTACCTACTGTTTCATTCCTTTTATATCATCAAAAGCTGTAAATATTTGTAAATGTGTCTTATAAATCCTACTTAGCCATTATGTTGTGAAAAAACTACTCATCTGGATTTTGCATAAGAAAAATGCAATTGAACTGAAAACTCCAAAATATTTTCCCCAAGAACTAACTGAAATATTAATTACCTGAACCAAATCTTGGTTGTAGAACTAAAGTCTATTTCAAAATAGTCTACCAACTGAATATAACACAAAACCAAATGGACCATGTCCCTAAAATTACTGATCCTTTAAGATTAAAGAGTGTTTTCACATCATAAAACAGAAGCTCCCTCATGACAATGTAATAGCAAAGAGCACTGGTTTTACTGTATACCTGAAAATCCAGCAAGAGCTCCAAATGATAATATATAATGAAACTGACAAGCATCTGAAATAAACTATCCAGACATCAAGCAAAAATATACCAGACAGACCCACAGGGCTCTTTTAATGTAGGTCATGATTGTCAGACCATAGCAAAAACATAGCGACCCTTGATAAAAATTAACCTTGATTATATGTAATCATGCACATATTTTACTCTGAATAACCAGGCCCTCTCAAGTAAGTCCATAGAGCTGCAAGAAGTGACTATCAGTCTGCTGTGAACTACTTTTTACCAAAGAAATTGTCTGCCTGTCATGTTGGTATCAATGGAGGTATAGGAGCAGCTTCCATCAAAATCGCTCAGGATCTCTAAGGACTCCATTGTACTGCTCACTTTTTGAGAGGTCATATTACTCCTACAAAATGCTCTTACTCTATAGCGTGTTTGTACAGATTACCAAAACACCATAAAAACCTACACATGCACACATTCCACCTAAACTCCTTAATCTTTTTAGAGTTATATGTAACATGGCTGCTTTTTCCTGAAAAATTATAAAAGTAAACAAATTAAAATCAGATTAGGAACAATAAGCCCAATCATTTGTTTATATTCTCTTTTTGTAGAAATCACAAAGTATCTAACTAGGGAGATAGGTGGTATTAAAATGACAATTTTTCCAATTAACCCAAATTAATATATCCTTTCATGAAATTTTACATGAGGACAATTTCCCATGCAGAAAATGAGTATGTTTATATGATATAGACAATTTATCCACAACTAGTTAATTCAGGCAGTGAGAGCATAATACTCATCAAGCCAGTGTTGCAAATCTGAACCAGTGTGAGCCAGCTAGTCACAGTGCTTTCCACGGCCACAAAACAGATGTTTAATTTAGCCAGCCAGCCATCATAGCGTGAGAACTGAAAAGAGGACCAAGTGAGAGACTATGCTCGAATCAGTGCAAATCCATGACTACTAGAAGAGCAGTGGGTCAAAAAGTACATCTCTCTAGGGTATACATCACTCAATGGAAACAATGGGTATTCTCTGTACAGTGGTTCCAAATCTAATCTAAATCCCCTGAACCATCGGTAAAGCTGTGGTTTCCTAATGTTAGTGGTATCCAAGATTCAGGAAACTATAATTGTATTGAGTATAATCTAACAGTTGTTGATAGTCTATATTCTAAAGTGAGATCATTTACTTCTGAACAGAATATAAATTCTGTCAGTTCTAGAACAAATCTAATTTTGATTTTTACAACAAAATATGGTATTTATTATGACTCTAACACAAAATATAAAGCATCATGCTGATGAAAGATATATAATTTAAAATAAATGCAGCATATTTTCTTTAAACACATATTAGGTTCACTTCCATCTGCCATCTTTTTGGAGAATGAAAAACTCCCTAGAGCTGAAATATGTTTGCTAATAAATATAACTTGAGATTTTTCTTTGAAATTAAACTGTAAAAGTGTTATGAAAACTGTCTTGTTTAAATATGGCGCCAATAACATACTATTCTCATTATGGTCACTATATACATATTTTTAATATATAAATAACAAACACTGACAAGCAAGGTAAAATAGTAACAACATTAAAGTCTGCAATGGAAATTTTCAATCTGCAAAAGGAGAGCTAACATACTTTTTAAAAAAGGGAAACAGGAAATGTGTAACAATGAGTTGTGCAACATGGTCCTT